AAGCCCATCAGCTGTTCGAATTGGCCGGGGCCCAGGTGAACCCTAGCAAGACCTGGACATACAGGGATGGGTCCTACGGGCTTACCTTAGCATTGCTGGGCAGACGGCGAGGTGGCAAATTTTCCATGTATGCTGTTTCATGTCAAGTTCTCAGACGATTCCTGGCAGCTAACAGAGTTCCTCGAGTCGGCACGTGATCCTAGGGAGGAAAAAACACTTGCAGTCGATCGTCGGCATGCATATGTTTGCTATATTTTTGGGAGGCATATACAGTATTTAACAGTTCTGAATTAAGCATTGTTTTTGTACTTTATATACCATGTTTAAATAGACACTACAATGCTTAATCAAGATGAGAAAAGATATGTAAAAATCATTTAAACATCTTTGGAATCTCTAGGTTCGTCCACGAATGGTAAGGTTCTCGACGCTGTCACGCGTTTTGCGCACTCTTGCCAGCACATCTTCCAACAAGTCCGTTGATGACTCTGCTTTGGCTGTCTTTAAGAATTTGAAAAAGTCCGTGACAAATCTTCTTAGATCATCGATCTCAAACGTTGCCCAGAGCTGTGCCGACAAAGTTATTGCCTCTACATCTAAGTCCGTTCTATTGCGTCTGCATCACGCCACCGCCTGCTTCCGCCCATGCTGCTTGGATATTGTAGCTAAATCTGTCTTTAATTGCCTTCGATGGCAAGAGACCAAAAGACCAATGCAGCCAGGAATTTGGCCACTAACTCCGTTTTTGTCGTTTCACGTGAGGTACAACAGTCGAGAATTACAAAAGTGCATGCTACATTTCTTCGGTCGGGATTTCACTGTAGCTGCAAATTTGAGCGAAGCGTCTCCTGGCGACCTGCCACAACGGACTACTCAGAGAACGCTTGCTTTGTTCTGTTTGTTTTTATCAACCCCTTGCAAAAACGCCATTCATATAGAACAAAGCACAGGTAGTAAAAGCTTTCTTACAGACAAGGGGTCTTCCTTTCCGAAAAGCTTGGAAGGTGGTTTTCGGAGGTTTTGGTTTTTGAGACTCAGTTGCGGTGAAGTGCACAGAGTTGCAGCCAAACACCGAACTGCAAGGTCTTTCGGAGTCTTGGTGAATACTCCACCTAGTGTCACCCTACCCCACCTATTGTCACCCTACCACGCCACTTGTGCACAATGATCACTCCCTAAAAAACACGGATAATATGTTTTGTGACGGTCTAAACAACATCTTCGTGAGTATCGGACAAGTTACCATCCGGGAGACTGCACAGACCACCAGCCATTCGCGTGGCGCTGTCGGGGATGGCATGTGGACGGTGTCTGTGAGAATATAGTTCACATGTACATGCTTCAATTCGTCATGGCTCAGGGACTCTTCGATATGGCCAACTTTATAGATGAAACCCTTGTGCTCCTCCACTCGGACTCCTCATGGCAATACGCACAGAAATGCAAGCTTGCTTCACACGGAGACAGAAAACATATATACAGACTAGAAAATATAAAGGTATATTAAGCAATGAACCATCGGGTAGTTTCCCAAGCACGCGAAGCCAAGAAGAAGGATGGGCCGGAATCTCCTGATATCACACATAAGCATTTGTGTTGGATGAGAGCGACTATTTTCTCTGATTGTCTGCCAAGTGCGCCTGCGGGGGCATGAGGGAGCAACCGTAAAGGGCGCGAGTAAAAGAGTTTGATTGCACCTGTCTACGTGAATCAGGACGCCGTTATGTTCTCTCTCACTCCCACAATCTTTCCACAACGCAAGCCGGACATCTGGATTGTTCCTACTTTTGCACGGGTTTCTCGTGGCACGAATGTGATGTGAAACGGACGTACTCGCTGTACGATCACCAAAAAGAAGTCTTGTTGACAGGTCTGGGGGTTCTACTCACTGAATACGAAAAAGTGGCAACAAGGCACGAGTGGAAACAAACTTCTTGCGGCCGCTCCCGTGCGAATTGCGTACCATCGCCTGCACGCTTTCAAAATACATCGGCCCTGATATTCATTCACGAGACGACGCCAGCGTTCGCGATCACTATGAGCAGGAAGACGACCCCCCACTTTGAGACGAATCTTCATCAAGCTCCATTTTGCCTCAATCGCGTTCGTGCTAATGCCTCGAGCGTTTTTGATTTAGCCTTTCGAATGGTTGACATACTCGTGGGTGAGAGTCTTCGCCGTGAAGCCTTTCTCCTTCCGACGCTCCTTAACTGACATAGTCCCTTTCCATTTGTCGCGCACGAACACGTCACCCTTTTGCAAATTGAGACTACGCAGGTTCTCCAGCATCTTCTGGGTGCCGTGTGGTTTGCCATCATGAGCAGGATCTGGGTGCTGAAGAATTCTGAAGACGAAGTGGGTATTCACATGTCCATGAAGCACGGCACGTTTGGGGGACTTGGAAAAGATGGTGGCTGAAAACGCACTAATAATCAAAAATCAATAATCATGCTTTGAAGACGTTGGTGCACAGCACTTTTCTTAGAAGTCGGTTTTATGTTGCAATAAAATACCATATCCATATTGTCGTTGGTGCATACACCGGCTGCCATTTCGCGTCCTGGACTGCGCGGCAGGAAATTGCAGGAACAGATTAGCAACTTTTTTGCCGACTCAAGCAGTAGGTTCATTGCAGACCAGGGTGTTGGCCTGAAATTTAAGATCAGTATTGGCTTTTCACCATTCCGCGAGCCATGACGAATTATCACGCTTGGGACTCCAAGGTCACCCGTGGGATATGCACTCCCCACAGTGCTTGCGGACATTGACAGGCAGATGAACTTTGCCGCGAAGCGGACGAGCAGGTCGAATAAACCGAATCAACTTCGCGATCTCAGTTGCATTCGATTGAACAGCGCATCATGGAGAGATTTCGCACGGATCAAATCTTCGTACTTCCGCACATGTGTCACCTGTAATAGAGCTTGGTGAAAGACCTTGCTGTGAAGGATAAAAGAGACGAAGCAGCCAACAACGAGGCCATGCATGATGATTTGTAGCATCGTGCAGATTTGAGTTGGAGCAAGCGTCAGGCTTGTGTTTCAAGCCTGTTCAGACAGTGCAGCTGCGGCAAGCAGAGCGGCTTTCGGCTGCTAATTTCTACCAAGCTGCTTGTTGACCAGGCTCTTGGACTTGCAAATGGCCCGAAGGGTCCACCGACGGAGAAGGCTGGTGGTAAGCTGCCCAGAATGATGGAATGATCGTGTGATGCTGTTGCAGGCCGAAAAAGAGCTACGTGAGCTGAAGGGCCATTCCAAACAGAGAGACGATTTCATCGACCCGTCCTCAGAACAACGTCGCTGAATCATGGCATGATTCCTTGTGTTCATCCGCTGGATCTCGAAATCTGAAGGCTTGGAGCCAGAAGCGTGAGGTGTCAATATCACATACGCATGTGTCGGGCGAGGCACGCGGCCCTTTCAATGTTCAAGTTGAATTGGCTTGGTGTTTACATATGGTTTTGAACTTTCTTCTCTTCGACAGTCCATCGTCAGTGGCCGTACTGCATCTTGAGATGTATGCCGCAGATGAGAAAATGCGAATCTCCTTCTCGGATCTTTCGACGGCTGATGCAGGTGCAATTGTCGGCTGCAGACTACAAAGGAAAAGCCTGTGACTCATTTTCCAAGTTTGAGTTGGCAAGTTTCGCATTGCCTGTTTGATGACTTGCACATTGGAAGGGTGCAGCGTTGCGAAAAGCTGCAGGCAGTTCGCATCAAGAACAGCACTGGTTGGAGTCCAATTGAAAAGTGGCATAGCGTGCACATACATGCAGCAACCAGCAGACTGCGAGACAGTTTGTGCAGCGGCATCCCACGAGACAAAGACACCTGCATTTGCAGAAGCCTTGCCGAGGTGTTTCGTATGTGGTGCCTGAAGACGTTGGAGTTCGGAACTTACTGATACAGCTGGTTCGAGTGCCGCCTTGATTGCCTCTATTCACTCTAATCTATTCAGGCAAATGACAGTGTTTTCCACGTGCTTCAGTCTCAAGTTTCGTTGTTATGGCATTGCTATGTCGGAGAAGCTGGTTCGGCCTGCTCGCGATCGATATTTTCCTTTACCAAGTTGCTCAAGCTCATGGTGGACAAATGCAGCTTCCGACTAAGTTGGCGCTTCATTTTCTGTGCATATGTCTTGATTGTACAGAGTTTGCTTGGAGTGGTTGGTGCCCGGCAAGAACTTCCTTCTAGCTGACCATAGATTGCCCTTGCGTATTGACAAAGGAGATGTCAGCATCCATGTCCGATCTTCTGTCGTTACGTCAACAGTACCGAGCTCAGTGGTGTGCACAAAATACAAAAGTTATCAACAAATTCCTGACAACATCTTGTTGGACAGACTGGCCATTAAGCTCTGAGAGTCTGCATCGTGGACGCAGATGTCGTGCAGGAAAGAAAGAGATATATTTGACAGTCACCGTTTCTTTTGCCCGTGTCGTGGTTGGCTGTGCAGTGGCAGGTGGAGCTGTACAAGTGCAGCCGGCTGGAGTTGTCCCTGGCTTCTGTCTCAGGACGGCATGTAGACAACAGGCGATCATGCACGGGCTGATGAACATCAGCAGTCTCATGCCATCCCGTCTTGGAGCAAGCATTCCACATTGCCCTAGTGCTAAGCCTAAGGACCAGCCTTTGGGCACGTTGCAAGTGGACGAGTGTGAGGAACCTGTGGCAGTGAAGTATGCTGAACGAGATCATGTAGGCGCGGGCAGCTTGGGTCTTTTGAGTCGCAAATGACTGGTGCCCAGCATCGCCTGTCCCATCCAGGGAAAGCGTATCACCAGAACTCGCCCTTGTCTCAAAGTGTGGTGTTGCACTCTTTGTAGATGCAACCAAGTGTGAGTACTCTTCATGTGTGCTGTCGCTGCAGTATGGGAGGCATTTTCTTGCTAGGGAATGCTGCCTAGCAAAGGCCTGGCTTCAGCATGTCCTGGGGCCTCTGTGGGACAGCAAGTTCCACAGTGGTGCTGCGCTCGAGAAGCTGAATCCATGGTCCACGTCCATGAGCACAGCGGCGCATGCGGCCCAGAGCGGGCCGGAATGTTTGTGAAAGGTTGGCCAAGCGGGATCGTTCCAGCTTCTGACATGTCCAGCTCTTGGTCAGCTATTGTTTTGCAAGCTTGACGGTCAGCACAGCACGCTCGCAACAGCATAAGCGGCCGTGAAGCTTCTCTGTTTGTTCATGCTGGCTGCATCTTGCACGATGTCGGAGGCTTGGTAGACGCAGACCTTCGCACAGAGCCTGTGAGGTGTGGCTCTGCAACAGAAGGGTTTCTGGCAGTGAAGCCGCTTTTGCAGGCGTGGCGAGGGAGAGTTTCCACTAGACGCTTGGAGGAAAGTTTGCCTTCGGCATGGACTTGGTAGCATGATGCTCGCCAGGGCCTAAATCTGGCGACTTGATGAGCTGAGGACTTTGGCAGGGCGAGTCCAGCTTCTGACCAACCTGAGCCCGAGGCAGGGAGCTGTTGACGGACGCTTTTCATCTCGTAACGCTGTCAATGGATTTTAGTTTCTGGCACTTCCAAAGCAGGCAGCTCCAGCTTCTGAGCAACGACGGCAAGAGGCTGAAAAGCACCGCCTGGGTGGCAACGACATGTCAGCACCTTAAATGCTGCCCCTCACCACAATATCCGTTGGGGCAACACACATCGGCAGCGAAGCGATACAGTTGCGACATTCTGGGCTGCTGACACTGTGCACCCCAGCAGTCCGAAGGTTTCAGCGATCGCCACAGAACAAATAGGTTTCCTGGCGCCATGTAAACGTGAGGGCATTCGCCTGTCAGTTCGCATCTTTGAAAGACATGATGCGGGTGGCATTTGTTTGTCAGTTTTCCTGGTACTGGTAGTCGTGGCAGCAGTATTGTACATGTGGCCACCGACGAGAACGTGCCTGCAGAATGTGCCGAGGTTCCGTGCGTCGGACTTCAGTCAGGTCCCGTTCTCAGGGTCAGAGTGCTGATGTAGATCTTAGATGTTCATACCGATGACAGGCTGCCGCCTTGTACTCGCTGGCACTCCAACTTGTCGCCTTGAAAGCAAGACCGATGTTTAGCTGTCTGTCGACGTTATAAGCGAGCCTGCCAGAACATGGCATCGTCAGCATACATGAGTGAGCAAAGAGGGAGCACTTCTCGCTCTCGCTATTATTCCTCGTCCGATCGTGAGGGCATCTTCACTCGATTGAGCAGGGCCGGCAGCCGCAGAAACACCCACACCACAAACACTGTCCGTGCCGTGCCAGAGTACTGCCCCTGCTTTCCAAAGACCATCACTCCAAAAGAACAGACCATCCACGATGGAGCTGCGTTGTAGCGAGGGGAGTGCCACACCTATCTTGGTATCCAATCACTTGATTTACATGCAAGGGGTCTCCAGCCCGTCTTCGCTCTGCTGAAACCTTCTACAATTCGGGGGGTTGGGGGGGTACGGTTCGACCCTTTTTCCATTGGCCGCGGTTTTGAAAGCCGGAGAATTACAGATTGGGTCGAAGGACAAAAGAACGAACACGCCACACCCAAAACCATGACCCTCGCGAACTGCGTCTAGCAAGTGGCACAGGCTTGTACGTGCATGTTACAAGCTTGGATCGTGTGACAAGTGACGAGCATTCGTTCTACATTTCAGGGTGTCGCAACCATGACGTTTCAGCAAATCCGCAGAACGAAACCCGGCAAAAGGACCGACGGGCGGTGGTGTTTACGAGTGGTACTTTTAATTGTGGTGGTCGTGGGGGATGCCAGGTAGCTGGTGCTGTGCCTTCTGGTGAGGTTGTGCTGCTATTGCCGATGCTTCTGATGCTGAACCAAAGGTTGCCATCCCCCAGTGAATTTGCACTAAGGGGTTGCCACTCCTCTTTGATTGTGACGGCTTATGTCTTATGCTCATGAAGTCTCACTTGTGGACTCGCTCTGCACGAGTCAGAGAGATCCCTTTTAGTAATGTGAATATTCCAATAGAATATGATATATTTAATTTTTTAGTAAAAAGTTCTTTCTCCATTATAACTTTAAAGACTATAATAGAAACAATTAAAGTAATACTTTTATACATTTTTTTGATATGATCATTCTTTATAAAAAATGAAAATATTTAGATATATCTGTTCCATAGTCAAGAACCTTTTGCCGTGGCCTTTTTGGCTGAGGCGAAGTACGTCCTCGATACGTTTCATCGGGCCAATCACATTGCGTGTCTAGACGAGCGAAGCGTGCACTACCTGACCTGCCCGAGGTGATGATCGAAAGGCACACGGCGATTTCTGCTGTTAACACAGCCTGGAGCGAGGCGTGGAACGCTTGGCTGGATGTTCTCACCCCAAAGATGAGGTCAATGGATGGCTCTGCGCTCGCCGTTTATCTGTGGCTCCTCGTTGATCTCTGGAACATGCAAGTGATTTCGACCCACCCTGCCGCGCCTCCCGTGCATTTGCCCGGGCCGCTGGCGGGTCGCCTGAAGCGCCCTTCGGGATCGTGAAATCTTGTGTCGAGAAGCAGCTTGTAACGAGGTTGTGTGTGATGTCTGCTCATCTCAGCCACAACGCTGGAGCACGTGTGCTCATGCTCCGCAATGGGTTCAACAATTTTGCTGTGCTGGTCGATCTGACTATGTGCAGGAAAATTGACTGCATCTACACTTTGTTCTTCAGCTTCGGCACCCCCGGTGCAAGGGAGATGGAAGCTAAGGTGGCTGGTCTTGTTGGATCTGACGTGGGCGACGACACAGGCATGATGTGCTGAGAAAGTTTGTCTTGCAGGGATATCGTGGCAGGCAGACGGAGACGCCAAAGCATGATAAACGTCCTTCGTCAAGCTCTCGTACCGGAGGCTCACACGTCCGGGTTCGTAGCACGACAAGGCGCTCGTCAAGCCGAGGCTCTGGAGACAGACGGGGCTACAGAACCGTTTCCGCGACTCGGCAATGGAGCATCTCCCCTCAACTTGATACTTTCATGGCTAGGAGGATGGCTCCGAGCTATCTTCCTAGGCGCCAAACACGTACCTTTTGCCCTGACTCTCTGCCATGCGAGCCGTTTCGTGGGTGCAGACTCTGGTCCCGCTCTTCAAACGGGGGGTCGAGGCTGCTGGTGCTGCAAAGCATGGGCAAGAAGTTTTCATTCCTGGAATGGTTTTGCGCAAGTGCAAACCTCACGACAAAGCAAGTCAAACACCATGCAGAACTTTGGTGGCAGATTTGAAAGCATGCCGTTGTCAAAGACAACAAACGCACGTACCAGGTTCGATGCCGAGATAATTCAGCAGAGGGCGTTTTTATCCCAGGGCAAAGCCCAGCTAAGAAGATCCAGCAAATTCGCGTGTGTTCCATAAGCCTGGACTTAACAGCCTTGTGCAGGCTTTTCGCATCTTTCGAGCTTATCGTTTGGATAGGCTCGGTGCTCATTCTTTCGAGCAGCTGCATGATAAAGAGCCGTGGTCGATTCTCTGAACAAGCACGCTTTATCATACAGGGCGTTTTTGCTCGTAGCACTTCAGCTCCGCATGCTCGTAGCACTTCAGCTCAGCATGCATAAACCCTGAAAACCTTACTAGGTGTTGTCGCAATTAAAGGTTTGAGGGATTGCAGACACTGGCACACTCTAAAACGTGACAAATTGCCAACCCCAACCCGTCAGGGGAAAGGGGACTGCAAACCCTTGAGCATTCAATTACAAGAGGGAACCGCGAATGGCAGGCAATAAACCCCAAACAGACTGTGGGCCAGTGACAGGCCCTAAACCCCCAAAGGTGACAATTGGCAACCCCACATTGAAAGGCGGGGCAAATGGCAAACTTGCTGAGTCGTGGCACACCTCAAAGACGCAAAGGCTTGGGTGATAGCAGACATTAAGCCAAAAGCGGACGGCGCAGCAGTAAACCCCAAACCTACACAACAAACCCGTAAGCGCAGCAGGCAGAGGAACGGGGAATGGCAACCAGTCAGAGGTATGACCAGGTATGAAGGATAGCAAAGATTCAGCCCAGAACCAAACAGCGCAAAGCCTCAAACCTTGACACATCCCAAACCCCGACCTGCAAGGAGGGTGGGGAGTGGAAAATCCTAACACTTACAGGACTGTCTGTGAGATGGCACGCAATAAGCCCCAAACGCATTGCGGGCCAGTGACAATCTCTAAACCTGACAAGAGATTGCGGCTGGAAGCCCTAATTCGAGAAGTGAGGCAAATCGCAATCCTGTGAAATGGCAAGCCCTAAGCCTTCAACAGTACAAGGTATGAAGGATAGTAAACGGTCAACCCAAGCATACCCAAGCCAAACACCGCCAAATCGTAAACGTTCGAAGCGGGCATTATGCCGCACGCAACGCTCTGAAGCTCTCGCGCCAGTGCCTTTTTTGTGGCAAGAGCGCAATCCTTTTGAGGCTTCGCACTGGACGGAAAAGGCTTTTTGCCGCGTGGACGTTGTCTTACAAAACGCCGCCGGCTTTTGAATGCTTCAAGCTTGATTTTGTGAGCGTTTTCGATTTGCACGGCACGCACACCTCTGACAACTAGGGTTGCCGGTGCCCGTTCCTTGTCAAGTTTAGGGTTTGGGTCTGCCATTGATCCACAAATTGTTCGGGGTGTGTTGCTTGCGACCCCCCTCCGTTTTATGGCTGTCCACTGCTTATTGCCCTTGCGAGTTGGGGTTGCGGATTCGTCAAGGTTTAGGGTTTGCCACTGCGCAGTCCGATTTGGGTTTGCCTCCCAAGCCTTTAAACTTTACTTGTTTAGGGCTTGCCATTCCACAGGATTGCGATTTGCCTCACTTCTCGAATTA